CGTCACACGGCCGCCCCCGCCCCCCCCCCCCCCGTGTCTTCTCCATTTCAGGCGTATTTCTCTCAGCCCATGGTTGCTGCAGCTGTCATTGTCCACCTGGTGACGGATGGGACATATTATGGGGACCAAAAGCAGGAAACCATCAGTGTACAACTGCTTGATACCAAAGATCAGAGCCACGATCTAGGTGAGCGTGTTCTCTTGGGCTTGGCTCACTCTTAGAACCTGGTTCCATATCTGCCCTGTAGTTAGTTGTGAGAGTCAGCTTAGAATGAACTTTTCCTTTCCTTTTCCTCTTTCTTGATCCTTCTCTGTTTGGTGTTTGGTTACCTTCAAATCAAAGTATCCTTTTTGTATCCAGAAAATCCTAGATCTGGCAGATTTAGGGATAAGGGGCCAATGTTAACACTTTCCCTTCAAGAGTTCCTTTTGTCAGAAACCTTAAATTTCAGATGTTCTATATGATCCTCAAAAGAGGAAACCAAGCAAGAGCCATTTTCCCATTGCACATGTCCACACCTGAGACTCAAAGAGATCCAAGGACACACTGCAAATCAGGGTGGAATAGCCAGGTTTTCAGAATAAAGTCCACTGCTCTTTACCCTTTAGCCAGAGGAGTCCATGAAAATCCCCCAAGTGGTGACTGTGTCTCCAGCATAATCTCCAGAGAAGATTCCTGTGAGTGTAGGAATAAGAACATTTTTGAAGGACCAGCAGATAGCATAATACGTCACTGGATTCCCATGTAGTTGACCATAGTTTGAGACCCAGACCCAGCAGCTTAAAACTCATGCTGAGTGTGCATGTGTATATGCATGCCCAAAATCTTGAGAGGAGAATGGAGGAGAGGGATTGCAGCATGGCCATCCCACCTAGGGAGGGTGTGTGATTTCCTGCTTTCTGTCTCTCTGTCTCTCCAGCAAGTGCATGCACTCTATAGTAAAAATATCTCCCTCTAAAAAAAAAAAAATTAGAACATTTTTGATCAGCTTCATGAGTGGGAAGGCAGGGGCACAGTGAGAATTGAGAAGCTGCCCTGAGTGTGGGGTCAAATGAGAAGACAAAGGCTAGTGTAGCCACTTGTGCCACCCCTCTGCATACCCATGTGTGTCATGATACAGAGGAAAAGGCTGACTCTAGAGCTGACAGCCGAAGTCTGAATCCTGTCCCTGCAACTCCCTTGTCTTGAGGACAGGAACAATTTTCTGGACCTCTTAGTGCCTCACTCAGAGCTTTGCCTTCCTCATATGTACAGTGGGGACAGTAATGCCCATTTAGCAGTCAGAGTGAGATGTACTGGGGACCTTCATGACCAGTGCATGTCTAGCTCAAGACTTTACTAAGAAATACCTGTTGGCACTAAGAAATTCCTGTTCCACCTTCCTATTTCCAATCTGCCCTAGAGAGCTTTGGGCAGCATCCTGTGTGTTTGGAATTCTGGACCAGCCCTTGAAGCCTGGACTTCAAAGCTGTGCCCATGCCATTCCACAGAGAGCTTATTTCAAAGACACTTAAGAAACAAGCAGGCAAGAAGGTCATTTCAGCATCAGATAGAAGCCAAGGAAGCAGAGATGGTTTTCTTGCTTTCTTTTTATGTTTGTTTAGTTAGTTAGTTAGTTTTAAAGGCAAGAAGGAAGTAATAAGAAAGGAAGAAACCCCCTATGGAGTTACCCAGATTGCTGGGAAATTTCCCTAAGTGAGAAGCAAATATTTTCATAGTTGTCTTGACATTGCAAAGGGCTCTGAGGAGGGTTTTTCAGCAGAGGTGGGGAAGTCTAGTCCTATAGATGTTTCTTAGACCCTGCCACTGATGCCTGAGGCTTCCACATTTCCCTTTCCCTCCTGACTGTGTGCACCTGTCTGCAGCAGGAGGCTTGGCAACTCTGAGAGTAGAACCAAAGACTCCTGCTGGACTTGGAGCTTTATCTTCCACAAGGTAGAACTTCCCCACCATAGCGAGCCTGCAAGGATATGGTAGGATCATATCATTTTTTAGGTATGGAAATGGAGTTTTAGGGACTTGCCAGAGTGCTATCATTAGGAAGTGACTAAATCTGCAGTTAAGCCAATATCTACCCAACTAGTTTCCAATTTGCCAACTCCATCCTTCTACATCATTCCTTTTTCTCTTCTCCTTGAGGCAAGATTGGATTCTACTTGGACTTTATGTCTCCACTGTTCTATGTTCCTCTAGAAAGCCACCTACTGCCTGTGACTGCTTCCTTCTCTGCAGACTAGGCATCAAAGTCCTCAACTCACAGGGCTGCTCCCACGTTCATAGATAACCTGTAAGCGTGGGATTTTTACCCTGGGACAGACCTATTGCTATGAATTATTTTCACCACTTTTATGACAGATCAGACAGGCAGCCTGAAAACTAGCAACTCAGACCATCAAGCCCTAAGGCAATGTGGGAGGGAAGTGAGGCCCCAGTGTTGCTTGGCTGAGTGGTGGCCCGTGGGGGAGGGAGAGGGGCTGTGGGCGCTAGGTGAAGGGAAAGCTTAGGGGGCAGGGTAGCAGGGAAGCAGGGGGATTGGAAAGATTTGGAACCAAGGGAAAAAAGGCAGACAAAGAAACTTTCAATCAAACTCAAAATCCCCACCGGCCGCCCAATGGTGCTTTTGTGCAGTGACATGAAAGGGTCTGGGGGCTTCGGGAAGGGCCCGTTGGGGAGGGCGTGACTGGCCTTGAGTAATGAGCCTGGCCCCTCGGCCCCTCTGTCTCCCCTGACAGGCCTCCATGTCCTGAGCTGCAGGAACAATCCCCTGATTATCCCTGTGGTCCATGACCTCAGCCAGCCCTTCTACCACAGCCAGGCGGTACGTGTGAGCTTCAGTTCGCCCCTGGTCGCCATCTCGGGGGTGGCCCTCCGCTCCTTCGACAACTTTGACCCCGTCACCCTGAGCAGCTGCCAGAGGGGAGAGACCTACAGCCCTGCCGAGCAGAGGTAAGGGATGCTGGGCCCACTCGCTGTGGGCCATTTGTAGTCAAGTGGAGACAGTGCAATTCTGAGGTTGGGGAATCATTTGTGTTGCTGTAAAAGGTCTTTGTGTTTCTTCTTTCTTCATCGTCTGGTCTCTGGCTGGCTCTGCCTTTGAGCTTGAGGGGCCCACAAATCTCTGAAATCCTAGGGCAAGTGAGGGAAGCAGGGATTTGTGGTGGAAAGACAACCTCTCTCACCTGTCTTGCAGCTGCAGAGTGGACAATAACTTGCAGAGTGATCCTGGAAACATCAGTTTCCCTCTCTGAGTCTCAGTGTCCTCATCTGAATAAAGAAAGAGCAGGCAGATTAGCTCTCATGCAGCTCTGAAACACTGGAAAATTGTGCTTTCCAAGTTGCACAGGCAGGAGTCATTACCCTTCTAAATTTAGGGGGCTGGTATTTGTTTCGCTCTCAATTCACTGTGAATGATGGGTGAAATCTCTATGTCATAAGCAAGTTTAGGCCCTGAAATCCCTTTAGTGACC